AGGCTTATTAAAATGTCTATCCCCATCGATAGAAGAGCAGAGATGGGACAGACGCTCAAATATAAATGACGAGGAAATTTTCCACATTATAGGGAATATTTAGCCGAATAGTGACTTCCTGCAATAAGGTGAAAGGATAGCTTTAAAGAAAGAGAGCCTTCTACCTCTTACAATCTTCTGCTTAGAATAGGATGCGATCCATTCTACAGACAAATAAGTAGGTGGTCAGGGGTGCAAATTCCAAACTACCGAAAAATCCGGAATTTAGTTGACCCCATTCTTGCCTAGGACGCGAAAGAGACGAATCACGGAGATATCGCCTTAACATGCAAACAAATAAATATGGATAAATGTCTTCAAATTTGGATAGGTGCTACTGTTGACGGTAAAACTGAAACGCAAAAAATTCCGCGTTCTCGAATGCCTCCCGAAAGAGGCGATAAAAAAGACATAAGTTTACCTGTTGAATCGCATGAGAACCTTCCACTTCATTTATTTGGTTTTATGCTCAAATAAAATATAATGCCTTCTCATTTAAATCATAAGGGTAAGCAGGCTAGCAGCTTGCAACAGAATTGAAAGGACCTTTGGCAAAGCATGCAATTGGTAGATCTAAGGCAGATAGGCTGATCTTTACAACTTGAATAACTTGTTCTCAGAAAGGATAGCCTCCATCTCTAGTGGGTCTTCCTCAGAGAGGAACCGGGTCTCCATAAGTCAATAAAGCAGCAGTTCAGATTCTTTTCCATGATACCGAAACTCTCCTGTTAAGTGATGGAGCTGCATTCATTCATCATGAACTTTGTGCCCATTTCTAAGAGATTGGTGTCTCTGAGGCGGAGACTTGACTGCACGGCGAAAAATCGGTTCAACTTCAAGTAGATGCCACTGGCTATTTAGGACTTTCAAAGAAAATAAAACTAACCTAGTGGGAAACACCTTCAGTTCTTAAGTTTTTACTAATGGAAAGATATTAATTCCGTTCACAAATAAAGAGAAGGAGAAGGGAAATCGGGGCGGGCAGTCCTGCCGACACGAGTGACAATGCGGGCGCTCTGAGGGTCGTCAAAGCAGCTTGGAGAATGCGGGAAGGGAGTAGCTTTGAGATGAAGGCATATTTCCAGAAAAGGTGTCAGACAGAATGCGAGAGGGATGTCAATTACCCTCCTGCTGGCGCGGACCCGGCCACAGTAGTCCGCGCGGGACACTCCGCCCACGTCTTTGTTGTCATCAGCGTGGGTGAAAATGCGGACACGCTTGCTGTCACTCAGTCGTGTCTGATTGACATTTGGTGGGTAAGTGGGGTAGGCAACAGAGATGGGTAGAACAGTGGCTGCCACTGATGCCAGAAGAAGGGAGGATGCAAAGCCATCAGGAGCCAAATCTCTTCAAAGTCTGTCCGACAATCCGGGTAAACCCGAAGTCGTCTTTCGTGAAAGCTTCTTGTGTGGCCATAGCATATCAGAAATTATAGGCTTTAACCTCTGCAAACGTAAAATAATGTTGGTACCACTTTTATTTTCATCAAAAGAAGGCAGTAATTTGGCTTATCCCGATACCGAAACGTGTTACTGTGGTGCTCGGCTTGTGGGGGAATGGATGCTTGCTTTATGGGGATGTCGCAGAACAAAAGGGGGTGGTGATCGTGACGTAAGCAGCCATTAATAGCGATAATTACTCATAATATGAATCATTTAGTGGTAGAAGGGACTCAGAAAAGGCCATGAAAAATTTTAATTTGCTTAAATAGACCTACCACAGTCACATACTGTCGTTTTAAAAGCAGGGGATACGTCAAACTCGGAAAAAAGTTGGCTTGGCGCCTATTTGACAATGCTGAGCATAGATTTTATCAGAACTTAATCCAGGTAGTAGCAAATGGGTGTTGGATCTAAATTAGGTCTATGTAAAAAAGAACGAATTTATTGTCTTCTAATTTTTAAGCCTCCTGATATTTGTATCCACTCTCATTCGCCATTCTATTCTTCACTGAAATTAAGCACATCAAAAGCTTCCATTTCGTCACATTCCGAAATCTCGAGCTGTAGGGCAAAAGATGCTTGAATTTTTTACTCATAATTCAGGAGCTCTCAAGCGGAGCTGTTCTATTCACCCCAACTAATATGCCTTTGACAACCTGATAAAAATTGAAATGGACTAAAATCAAGAGGATCCACTATGCTAATTGACTCAAGTGCTAAAAGAGGGTGTGATCTGAAAATTTTGGCATCAAGGATTGTTTATGTATGCCTAGTGTGTCGAAAGCGGTGGCAATAAGCTTAATTATGGGCTTTCAACACAAATCTGTCTACCTCTTACGATTCTCTCCTGTCAATAACGACTTCGGCTACAACTAACCACAAATGTTTATTTTCTCCTCCTCAATCCAGCATTCAGTAGTGTGACACGCGTAATTATCCAAATTTCAATCAGCCCCTGCTTGAAATGATGGATGGATGAGTGAACAAATGAATGAATGTGTTGAAGGATTGTCGTGGGGGCACACGTATCCATGGTCACCTCCCTAATGTCTCCCTTGCTCCATCTTTCACCTCCTGTCCTGATTGACAAGAGGGAGTGAGAGAGGGATGGACAAATGAAAGGATGTCCACCACATACAAACAAACATAGTAAAAGAGGTGGTGATGGTGGTGGTGGGGGTGAAGATGGTGTAGGAATAAAGGGGTTGGTAGGTGCTAAATAGGGAGTAAATACATGCATACGTACAGAGACAAATCAGGAGGACAGCTTTAGAGTGAGCTGAATGGTAGAAAGGAAGGTAGAAATGACAGCTGTCCATCAGGAAGCGACAAGACGAATGGGCACACACAGTAGGCCTGAGCGGTATAGAGAGAGTAGGACAGGGCACATGTCTACTTCTCATGCATGAATAAGTCTGATTTGGGTTTGCATGAATTATAAACAAAATAGGCTGCTGTGTGGTCTAGACGTCCAGTTTTTCGAATATTCACTGCGCTGCTGTTAGAGCAATACTGATGCAATAGAATACAATTTAATTGAGCTTAAAAGTACTCGCTGTTAGTGCTTTTTAATGGTCGGGTGGACACTTGATGGTTTGCTGCTTCAAGTAATGTTTTCTTCCACCTGAAGGGTGAAAATTTACATGCGACTGCATCTCCACCAGTCACAGCGAGGTGTGAGGTGTCTGTCCAAGTCCTAATCGGTTCCTCCTCATGAATGATGTTTAGATAAAATTAATTAATGCAAGGAGTCAACTTATAGCATATTTTAACAAAAATTCCATTTTGGCGATATTTAGTTCTTTCGATAAATGGGGTTTGAAGCATTTGCTGGATTTCGGTTCGAGAAGAACGCGTAGAGGTGTATGTCAGAGCCTATCACAGAGTGAGAACGAGGTAGAGGGTGAGTGGGTGAGAATTATGTTCTCAAAAACGCAAGGATATGTCAGTCAAAGCAAGCTGTCTAACTTGGCAAGATATGGTGTGAGAGAATCACTAACCTATCTCGACATACCCGTCAAATTTAACTATCTACATGATGACAGCAAATTAATTATGACTATCATTAAACAGAGAGTTGAGCAGAGTCTATGACACAACACCCTCTGTATTCAACGCATTTGATGGTCAGATGAGTGTGATTTTTAGCTTGTTCTCAAATTTGATGAATAAGCTATGCGAAAAGACACGATGATACCGTGATACATACTCATTGAGACTAAATAAACCAGTTCCCTCGGAACCGGTGTAACCAAGGTGATAAGTGTCGGGTGTAAACAATGGGGTTGATAGGGGCATGTGCAAGCGATTATTTTAATAGTCCCACTTCCAACTCAAAACCATTGGGCATCTTTTTCATTTACAGCAGTGCGATTTCGCAGCAGTTCCACTTTTGGAGATGTAAGCAAAGAGAGACGACAAATCCCACGGTTTCACACCCCTAATGCTAATCGAGAGGTCGCTTTTATTAGTGCTTCCCATAATCAGGTCTGCAATTACCCGGAGCCGCAGCCATAGGAGTAATTAGATATTTAACGATAGTCAGAGATTGTGCAAACGCCTTTTACACACGCTAAATACTCCTCTATTCCCTAAAACAATGTTTTTAAAGTTAAACTCATTAGTACATTGAGTAAAGGTGGAAAAGTAGACAACGGTGCGTAAATTTGCCTACTTGAGAACAGCTAGTTTTATTAGTTTGTGCTTAATCTTATTATAAATGGATTTTAATCTCGTCGACTTCTTTGTGTTATTGGTTTATCAAGCAAAACATTCAAAAATCTATGCAAGCCCAGAGATTGTCGACGTACACAAGGGCATGGGAGGTCCCGGCTTGGCTCGGAGGCCCGGTACAGTCGCATAGCCTCAAAGTGTCCTGTTACCGAAACCGACGGCTAAACAAACAGTTAGCCTATTACAAAATGTGTGATTATTACCAGCTATTTCTCTCCGAAATTCATGCAAATTTAAATGACTGATCAGACTCCATTAAATCAGAAATTCACGAATAACCAGATATTTATATCCGGTAGTGATTTTGTTTTTAATTAACCTGTCGATTTGAAAAAAATTGTTGGGTTTTAGTTTAAAGAAAAGGAAAAATCGGCATATTGTCAGATCCCTTGGGATATCACTAGTAAAGTAGCGATTTCATTTGATTTGACTAACGATCCTCTACAAGCAGTCCTGCTTTGTATCCAAAATTTTTTTTTATTAAAATTCATTTGGCAAAAGATAACCTTCGTTTTTCAACATGAAATAAGAATGAAGATGCTCTTTGCAAATTGCTTAAGCATACATTTATGCGTTGACAGTGCGTCTAGACAGATTACAACTGTTTGAGATGGAATGCTTACATTACTTAGAATGGACTTAAATAGTTCAAAATACCGTCAAGTGATTAGGTGATCACTCTAAGCTCCGTCTCATTTTTCGTTAAGGTGCGAATGGAGCTGAATTCTGTGGCTGTCTTCAATGCATACAACTCGCTCCATCGCCTTGCTTATCCGGGTGGACTGGATGCATGGAATTGTTTATTTCAGTCTTGTTGAAAACTGTCTTGAATTAATTATACTTATTCTTAAAAATGTGGTATAAATGGGATATAATGAAGTAAATTTATTAATTTTTAGTGAGCTATTGCTCAAAATTGGCAATAAATACCGAAGGCATTCATAATCCTAAAGATTACTCTCCGCTAGCCAATAATTTTCAAATATGGATTGTTTGATCTACTTTGTTTAACTGGTGTGATCAAGTGGTTAGTTAGGATTGCATTCAAAATCACGTTTCTCTGTAAAAAGCATGAATTTGAATCTTTAAAATTAAGACACTCAATTAGCAGGTTGTTTACGCGTATAAATGATGCAAGCTCCAAAATCTCCCTGTTTGCAGTCAAATTTGCCACCTCTCTAATGATTTAGGATGAATTAAAAAAGTGAGGAAATCTAAATAGCCCATAGCAATTCAACAGCAATGAAGTCATCAAACACGCACATGTAGGAAGATTGGTCTGCGACGTGTTAATGACCTGCTTCTTTTTTCGTCCCCTCGAATAGCAGCTTACCACTACCACCGCCAGACAAAAAAAAATTAAAATTCACGTCTTGATAAGTCCACCCATCTGTCACATTACTGACACCTGCCTAGCCTACCACAATACAGTGCTGCACTAATATAGTTTGTGATGCGAAGAGACGAGTGAAAGTGATATGCCGCACTGGTGACAGGTCCTTCAAAGGATGCACACTCCACCCTCCATGGAGTTTTCGGCATTCCTATTAACAATTCGAATTTGGGGCACTCTGTATTTAATAGAGGAAGCTGTCTAATGGCTGAAATACAAGCCCGAACTCTGGAGAAGTTGAAAAGTTTTGTTTTGTCACTCCAACAGCTTAAATTATCGATTAAATAATTAGCTTACTTCGATCCACTTTACAACAGATGATGATTCACCGTCAATTCATATCACCTCAAACCGCAATATCACCTCGTGTAAATTACACCGAATATACCACTAATGATTTAAGCTGAGATAACCTGTTAAGTATATTTATTTACATTAGTCTTTTCTACTAATATGCACTCCTCTTAAAATGCAACGAACTAAAATCTTTTTTATTTGCTTGAATAAAAATAGGAGAAATTTCGAAAATTTTGAGGCTAAAAGACTACAGGATGTAAAATTAAGAAGTGGGAATTGCGCGAGAAGAGAGAAGCAGTATGTTAGAGCACAACGAAAGATGCGACAGCATCTTAAGGGGTTACATGTCATTTGAGTCAGTTCGTAACACTTTCAATTCCAATGGCTTATAAACCTATAAAAGAAAGTGAATATGGGGAAATGAGATTGACAGGACTAGAGCTTGGTTTGTAAAAGGTTGGGAAAGGATGCAGAGTTTCTACTGGAAACGACAACCAGCCATATTTCACACGAACACATCACTTTTTCACCTTGATGTAAGGCAGAGCTGACGTCCAAACTGCACTGCCATTTCTTCAACCGGGGTTAAGGAGGGCAGCAACACCTCACTACAAAGGTTCATATATTAGACCAAAGGGGGGAGAGAAAATGTAAAATCAAGATTAATGGGGCTGGCATCCAGGCAGGAGGGCGATGTTTGTAAGTGTGCGGCTTGATAGCGATTGCTGCCGCCGGTTTTCAAACACCATCTCTAGCCCTCTGCACCATACCCTTCCCATCACCCTCCTCCTACGCTACCTGTCAACTTGACCCATAAATCACACTCCATGACTGAGTGCGTTTTTGGACGTCAGCTCTTAGGTAAGGTGAAGGAGATGTCGCGGTTTGATGTGTAACTCGCACATCTTTAGCGTGTAACCAACTGCGGGTCGGATTCAACAGTCTGCTAATAGTAATTATGAATTTTTAATGCTAGAAATTAAAAATGCAAAAGACTCCTAATTATCTCCGAAACTCAACTTCTTCAAGGCTAAATATATATTCCTTTTAAAAGCGGTATGATAAACGCCCTCTTTTTTAAAAAATTAGGGTAGATGACACTATTATGATTTGAGGGTTTAACTTGAGAGCTGCGCAACTCGCTGAAAATCGTGGCTAGAACTATCAAACACACCGAACACTATTTATCAACAGGTGAGTCATCGAGCAATTTAGCTTTGCAACATTATATCGATTTTTGTCACTATTGATCAATTTTCAAAGCTAAACTAATTAAGTTTGTGGCAAGTGTAAATTAATCAGCTTTGGCTATTACACTTCAATGACTCCTTCAGTAAATCGTCTAAGGCAGAATTTCTTTGTTACCAAAGTCGAGCTTAGACTACTCACAATGGAAGACTGTTCCCTAGGTTAGATCAAATCACTTGCGGCACGTGAGAATGAGTAAACCTGGTTTATAATACTACAAATCATATGCCGCTCTGCTTTAATGCACGTCATATTCACTTAAATAGGTATTGTGGTCATGTCCCGAGAGCTCTCCATCACCAGAGTGGCAATAAAATGAGGTCAACATAATAGCTTACGGTCCGGATGGTGTGCTCAAGCGTTTTATCATCACCTGACTGTGATACTGGTCAAGTGGGAGGGTGCTTCGTACAGCACATTGCCATTTGGGACGCGGATGATAGAACATTCCATTTGGATGCCCAGTTGGTGATGATAATATTAATAATGCAAATATCAGAGGTTTGATTTTCAGAGTCGATTTTAAAGTTTATGTGTTACATGATAGTGCTTGAAATTGGGTCAGTGTTTAGTCAGGGAGGTGTCTTTTATCACAATGTTATTATTAATAATCACACATGATTGTGATGCAAATTGGCTGAATATCATGGGCGAAATACGGGTGACTAATCGGCCTAAATTCTGCAGACAATATCGCGTTACTGGCAGAATCGAGGACGCTTCAACAGAAGATGACAACCACGGCAGCGATACCGGAGGCATGTTTTTATTTAATTGAAGACTGTGGTAACATTAACAGCCTCCCTCTTCACTTTTAGCATGGATTTAAAAGTGGTGATCACAATATAGTTTTCCAAATCCGCTTTGGTCTAATATCACTCAATTTATAGTCATTATGCTGGAAGGTGTCGCGATTTCGATTACCCGTGTCTCGAAGACAAACAGTAACAAGGAGAAATAAAAATTGCTGTTCTTCTTGAGTAGGTACATTTAGTTTCTGCCACCATTGTAGCGTTCAAGTTGTCGCTGAGGGCATAATAGGGCACTTCAGTTTATAAGTTGGGTTAGGATAAAAGTACGGAAGAACTGGGAGACTAGCAGCCTAGTCAGCGTAAGCAGAGTCCATGCAAACCCACGGGCGAATGGGGTGTTTCACGCACTTACACGAAAATTTATTATCAAAATCCATTTTTTCGATTGAATAGAGACAACGGATGATTGAGAATTTCGCTATACCTAGCTAAGTAATCAAGTATAATTTTGTTAAATTCCCATAGAGCGTGTGATTATGTTTAGTTCTCCTCCCCTCTATCCATCAACATCGCAAAAATTTCAATCATCGAGGATGACAAACACTCGTTGTAGTGTGGTGTTAGTATCAGTTTTTCACAGACTTTTACACAGAAAGAACACACAGTTTTTTTATAAGCACACGTATATTATTAATGTTCTTGTAAAGTAGGCATTTTCTCAGGCTCCTCCTCATTGCACAACTGCGCAAACGCCTGCTAGCAGTGAAGGTCGTGCTCAGAGGAATTAAATTGGCATTTGCGCCTTCAGTCAGTCAAACTTGGGTGGTTCGCGCCTAAGAAACATACTTACTCTCAAAAGCAAACGCCATACAAGAGAACTACCTATGGGCGATGGCCGATGAACTGCCATGGGAAGAGTGAGGCTGTGAAATAAAAGAATGCGCCAAAAGCAGTGGGCTGGCGTCACAAGTTTGTAGACAAACCGACGATGACATGACTTTACTGCGGGGTCATAAAATTTAAACGAAACTTAAGTCCTTTTTAGTCGTAAACCGTTTGTCTTTTCACTCGACCACAGCAGAAAGTTCCATGGAGAGCAGTGACTTTTACTATCGATCAAGCTCATTGATTGGCTACGCACATCTCAATCGATAAGGCAGACTGCAGTTAAAATCGATACTCCCCCTTGTTCCTTTAGTCCCGAGAGATCCCAACTTTTTCCAGCCCTTATTTTTAATAAACATGGTTTTGTTCAGCTGTCTTGGAAGAAAGCTAACCAGGCACATGTCCAAGTCCCATTGGGTTTAAAATTTGATAGAATTTGCGTTTGCTTTTATGATCGCTCAACTTCGTGGGTGGGATACTTTTCAGGCTTCTTTTCAAAGACATTTCCTGTGCCACACTAGAGGAATAATACTTTGCTTTTCTGGAGTATTCCCCCAATGCCATATCGCAAGTGTTATATGATGAGTTTACTTACCATTCAAGTTTGGAACTTAGGGAGTACTGACCCCAAATGAATATGTGAGCAGCAGATTAAAACAGTCACGATATGATGGTTCCTAGTTTGCCCTGTCTAAGTAATCGTTGCAGATATATTTCACGTAACATCACAAAGTATGGACACACTTCAGGAGTGAGGTAGAAAATTTTGAAAAGTATTAAATAAAAATGCTTCCTGATATAAGAAGTGGATCAGATTCCTACTCGGTGAGCCAAAAGTATATTTTTTGTTAAAATTTTAATTTTATTTATTAATCTCGCACCTTTGATAAGATGCTTGAGGAAGAACTACGTGATAGCTAAAGGTAAGTCCTCTTTGTACCATATTTTTGCAAATCATCTCCATTCTCGCTCGTATCTGGTTGTAGATGCAAGAAAGCATTTGCCCTTTTAACATAACACTGTGCACTTTGAATGAAAATTAGTGTCCTGAAATGTTCCACAAACAGACTTTTACAGTATTTATGGAAAAATAACAGCATTTGTAAGGTATTTAAACAAATTACACAAAAGTAAATACACTTTTAATAGTAAAAATTTTTCATCATAATTTTCATACCGAATCATCAAGCTCATCTGTCCTCAACTATTTAAGACTTTCCTTGAATTCAAGGATGATCTGAACCTAAATAATCTTTTTCTTGTGATTCAATCCCTATTAAAGTTGCATTTCTAGCTATTGGAGTAATTCAATCATCTAGAGCAGCTTCCATCCAGAAGCTGCTTACATTCCGCTAGGTTGTGTTTGAAACAGCAAACCGCGCGGGAAACTGAGCGGTGTTTGTCCTTAAAGGGAAATCGCGATTTTGCAACCTAATTTGGGGCGAATGATAAGCCCAAAGTGTGTTAGCCTTCCCTGGGATATTTGATTTGATCTGCCCCTTGTAGGTAGGTAATCAACAAACCATGTGAACTATGCCGAGTTGCTTCGTGTGAGTATCGTCCCGAATTCGACACCGGCGTGAACGAGGTCACACATTTTTCACCACAATGCAAATATCATTAACGCCGAGTGTGGTGCCAATGCCGAATAGGCTAATTTGTGTGAAGAATCGGATGCTCCCACTGACACAAAACGCGCAATTTTAATGTCCTCAGCACCTCCGCATACCTCGCTGCCACTGCTGCAGGCGGAGCACAATGACCGGGTCAGTTAAAAATTGGTACTTCCTTCCACTCGATCAGTCACTCATGCACGCAGCCGAATGGTACATTGTCACGTGGACACTGCAGAGGGATCGGGTTTTCGTTCATCCTAGCGCGTAGTGGAGATGACTCCGGCAATGCCCGAATTTCACATGGCACTGCCAGGCAGCGGTTCGAAGCAGTTATCGCGTATCACCAGAATCTGAGCCATGAGAAAATCGCTGGCATGTGGGGGAAATTGAGTCCGGAAAAATGATACGCTCTGTCATTTCTTCTCACGATATGCCTGCCTAATCAGTGTTTAATCACCGCAAACTCGCACCTTTAATAGGCGTGCTCAAACCTCAACTGGGAATCCTGCACCCACCTCGTTAGCTATTGCTCGTCGCTTTCGTGAAATTAACACCTTCCAATTAATAAATACATAAAATGAGTCTTCTTGTGATTTAATTTCATTTCGAAAAATTGGTTCCGGTGTCCCCTTGAAGGTGATCAATCAACTCATACTGCTTCCTGCAAAAGCAAGTCAAGAGCTGTTCACACAAGTACGAGCAGAAATTGCCTCTTCGGCCTTCCGTAACGTTCCCATTTTGAGTGTTCCTCAAAGGCATGGCTCTAAGAATTTGGGGATTTAGAGTTTCTTCAATCCGCTGAAGCAAGGACATGACGCAGATAGTTCAAAAACCCACTTTTTAACATGCCTGCTCTGCGGCGGTGCTGCGTGCATTGGCATGGCAGAAAATCTGGGTCAGATGACTCGAAAAAAGCCGAGGGGAGACGACCACCACATGGTGACGCATCAAAGCAAAGGCCGCCAAATTTTGGGCTAATGGTGGCTTGACAATGATCACTCCCCTCCTCCTTCGGCTACACGCCTCTTTTAAAGCCCGATTGGGCAATTGCGGCAGCTACTGATTACCGAACCCGGCCTACTCGTGGAAGGACGGAAACCGGGCGCTTCCTATCGGTGGTTGGCGAGACTAAAAAATCCAAACAGCATACAAGTAGCAGCTTCGATGCGGCGGGTGGTTTGTTCTTATTAGATCAACAGCTAAGCCGTATTGATTTTTCATTCTCAAATTATTGATTTTATTTTACTGGGATGACAGATGGAGGGCATACCAGTCGGTCCTATCCCAGTGTAAACAATCCTATTTAAGTAGGATCCATGTATTGGAAAACATGACTAAATAATTAATTGTACTTTTTATTTCCTAAAAAAATAAATTCTACAAAAGTCGTTGGGAATGGTTGCCCTCGATTTTGAGGGCGAGAATGTTAAGGCAAAGATTATTTTATTTCAAGGTCAGAAGTCATCTCCACTAAATTGTTTCTCAGGGACAATTTTGATAAACACACTTTCAGTGTCATTTAATCTCGGTTGGAATAACAAACGGAGTAGAAAGTGGAACGCCCTTAGCTGTTTGTTTTTGATCTTGTTCCCTTTAACTGGAAAGTCCTCGTACCCTCTTATTCTTGTATATGCCTTAAATTTAACCTAATCAAGGAATAATGCATGTTGGTGTAACTGTTAGAGCATCCGAGAGTAGGAGAGTCCTTATTCGTCGCTGTGTTGAATGATTTACGCCAACACATCTTTATGTTCTGTCACTACAAACGTGATGGATTCCGGATCCAATTTGTTGTGCGAAAATCTCGGTGGATGAGTAACTACAACATCATCATACATTAGGGCCTACGAAATTGGGAGTACTGAGCTATAAAACCACATTAATAATACTTAGTAGGGTCCATTAGAGTCATGAAAATTTAGCTGAGAAAATTTTGCATCTGTTGGGGATTATCAAAAAGAAAAAGATACATCACTCATCTGGAGTGAAATCGAAGACATTTTATTCATAGTCCTTTTCAAAGTAATCATTGAGGTGGTGTTACAAAGATCCTTTCTTGGTAGAAGTGGTGGAGTCGATCCATGCCTCGTCATTAAAGGGGTTCAAGCTTTTCTAATCAACAAAAATACACTACCGGTTTTTTCTTAAGAAAATTTTTAGCTAGTTTTCAGAGCTATCTACAAAGAAGTATCTTTCACCGGTGAAGGCTCAGTCGATTTTAAGACCATTGCTATCCAGTTGTCTACATTCATCAGCTGAATTGACTATCGCATACCATGAGGTCGTGTTTTCTCAAGGTGGAGTAGTCGTGATTGTAACTACCAGGGATGTTAAGTTGGTCATAATTTATGCCATCCAGCTGAATGGCATAGCTTGTAATAGGATCAATCTGGCAACTGGGATCGCTGACATCACCCTGGCCACCCGAACGCCTTTGAAGTTGGTACGTGTGCGCCCAAATCAAACGTCTGTGTTCGTAGGAATAGAAGACAG